TTGGGAACTGTACAAACTATAAGAAAAAGATTTTAACTTCGCGGGAGATACAAGAAAAGCTTTTAAGGCTGCAGCCATTATTTAGTCTGCTTACGTAATCTCTGTAATAGTTGCGGTAAAGCTTGGAAACTAAACAATATTCAGATAAGCCATTTGATGATTGCTTTAGCAATGATGAAGTCTAGATTATAACAGCTACTTTACTCACACCAACCCCTTATCCACCCGTAATATGCTTATCTTTTTTTAGACAATAATTGTGACGATGGCTCAATGATTCCTTTGGATGGGAATTTACATCGACATCATCCGCGATCAAGATGCTAAGAACTGTATCTCAATTCATGGATATTTATTTTTAAAAGAATAGTCAAGAAACTTATCAATTGAATGACACAAGGACAGTCTAATTTTGTTAAAGGAGATAAATAGATTTTAGTAAAATTCTAAATCCACTACTTCAATGCTACTGTATAAGGAGAATTCAATTTGTGTGTCAATTTCACACAGCTAAGAGAACACTGACGTTGTTTGAACCCGAGTTTGCGACAATAATATCGAGTTTTCTATCTTCATTGACATCGGCTGCTGCCACATAGTACGGTAAACTTCCAGTTGAATAGGTCACTTGAGTAGCAAATGTGCTATTGCCATTGTTGAGGAGAACACCAACGTTGTCTGAACCCGAGTTTGCGACAATAATATCGAGTTTGCTGTCTCCATTGACATCGGCTACTGTCACAGAAATCGGATAATTGCCAGTTGAATAGGTCACTTGAGTAGCAAACGTGCCATCGCCATTGTTGAGGAGAACACCGACGTTGTTTGAAACGTAGTTTGCGACAATAATATCGAGTTTGGTGTCTCCATTGACATCGGCTGCTACCACAGAATACGGTGCACTGCCAGTTGAATAGACCACTTGAGTAGCAAACGTGCCATTGTCATTGTTAAGGAAAACACCGACGTTTCTTGAATTCGCGTTTACGACAATAATATCAAGTTTGCTGTCTCCATTCACATCGGCTGCTGCCACAGAAATCGGATAATTGCCAGCTGAGTAGGTCACTTGAGTAGCAAACGTGCCATTACCATTGTTGAGAAGGACACCGACGTTGTTTGAAACCAAGTTTGCGACAATAATATCGAGTTTGCTGTCTCTATTAACATCGGCTACTACCATAGAGTACGGTGAACTGCCAGTTGAATAGATCACTTGAGTAGCAAACGTGCCATTGCCATTGTTGAGGAGAACACTGACAGTGTTTGAAGCCTGGTTTGCGACAATAATATCGGGGTTGTTGTCTCCATTGACATCGGCTGCTCCCACAGAAATCGGGACAGAACCAGTTGAATATGTTATTTGAATAGCAAACGTGCCATTGCCATTGTTGAGGAGAACACCGACGTTTCTTGAACCCGAGTTTGCGACAATAATATCGAGTTTGCTGTCTCCATTCACATCGGCTGCTACCACAGAATGTGGACCACTACCGGTTGAATAGGTCACTTGAGCAGCCAATGTTCTATCGCTTGACGCTATTACGAAACGAAAATTGTTATTTGTACCAATATAATTATGGAAAGCAATTGCCTTATCTGAATATTGTTTAGTTTCCAAGCTTTACCGCAACTATTACAGAGATTACGTAAGCAGACTAAATAATGGCTGCAGCCTTAAAAGCTTTTCTTGTATCTCCCGCGAAGTTAAAATCTTTTTCTTATAGTTTGTACAGTTCCCAAGAGGAGACTACCATTCTACAACGCTGACTAATTTGCTGACCTGTGTTTTCAATTAAGGCATTCTTATGGTCGTTAAATCTTTCTCTGGTTCCACGAGGCTGCTTTCAATCTTTCACCATTGGAACTGAACTGAATTTCATCTCAGATTCGAGCAGATTAGCAAATTATATGAGCCCCTAGTCGACCAAATTCACAAGATTTTCCTTGGACCCGATTAGTAGGATGATTGACGGTATGCTCGCGACAAATCATGATCAGAAAACTCTTTTGAAAAGAGCTTTAGTTGGATGATAGGTACATATATGTGAGAGATGATTGATGATGCACTTTACTCAGCAGTGGTTACTTCGAGAAAGCAGTGCAAGAATGGCGCAATCAAATGACATTCGGTTCAAAACAACCGTTCTTCTTTTTATCTACAATCATTCACTCGTTCATTCGTTATCTGAATAGTTTTCCACATAGGTTTTTTCTAAAGACTGCCTATTAAACAAATAGAATTGAAAGTATGGGAGTGGGTTTCCTAGCAAAATCGGCCCTATTTCAAAATGCTAACATAACATCCACTAATTATATATGATTACGAAGATAGTGAAGTCCACTAAATATGTGGACTAAAGTTTTGCTAATAGCACTGCTTTTGATTCTTCTTCTACCCTGCATATAATGAGAATGCATATAAGCAGCTCATTCTAGACTTGTATAGCGTCGAAGTCTATGGCTTCAAAATATTTCGTCATCACTTTTTATCATTGTTAGCTCATAAAATACCTTTCAAAACTATCCGCACATGGTCTTTCTTGAACTCGACTAGTGGAATACATCCCACGTTAATTTTTTGAGCGAAAGTAGGCCATTGAATATCCTCAAAAACAACCCGAACGTGCCAATTTCAAAACCTTCCCAAATGGATTCATAAAATACTACACTCATCTGAATAGTTTGTTTCTAGAAGGATTGAGACGATGACTCACTTCGAGCTCAACCATTGGAATTCATAAGACCTTGATTTTCCAGTATTAGTAGGCTATGGATTATCCTTTAAAAGTACCCGAACATGGCTTTTTCGAAAGCTTGCGAAAGCCATTCTAGTAGTGACAGTCTAATGCAGACTGGTCATTTCCATAGAAATTCTCAACATGAAGAGTTTTGTTCTCGGCTATTGCAATACATCCGGGACTTATGCTGTGAACATAAGTAGATCAAAGAATTCTTTGGAGAACCACTTGAAGATAGCCTCTCCGTGAGGTACTGAAATGCGTTCTGATAATACTACTTTGATTTTAACAGATGATTTTTATGGGAATGTGGAAGTTGGTCAATTTCAATCCTCACTCTTGTGACAAATTCTCTTGACAAGGAATGAAAAGCATCAGGTATAATTATACATTGTAAAATAGTGTCAAACATGGCTTTTGAATGACTGTTCAGTACGCTACATTATGACAGCTCACAGATAACTATATAATGGAATCTATATTTTATGGATATCAATTGTCTTAGTGTCATGAGATACTTGGTTTTTCGTGTGATAAGGTTTCCAGCGATTGGTTTTCAGCTTTGGTAGTTGGCGCTTGAATATACATGGGAGTAGCCAGTCAGTAGGG